ATCGGCTGACCTGATCTATTCGCGTTACCTCACATAAATCAATTACAGCGACATGTAAAGTGAGTGACTTTGTCGGAATCTAATTTACACAATTTTTTGATTTCAGTTAAGATTTAGCAAAACTGCACTTAAACCCTTTTGACCTCTTGGTGAAGACCAGGTCTAAATTGATGAGTAAAGCGATGTTCTCAATGCATAGTTTGCTATAAATAGATTCTATGATTGTAAATGGTTAGCAATAAAGCGGGAGGTGGTCGTTTTCAACCATGTAATAGTTACTAACGGTTGATGACTGTCAGCAAGATTAATTCGCGTCTCCAAAAAATTCATAAAGCTTCTTATCGACAAAACTGGTATTTAAAGCCCCACGTTGTATTTGAGAGTGAACTGCGTTCAGTTTGCGTAATGACATTGAATTCGCGCTTACCCGGTTTCTCTGGACCACAGTTATGCTGATGAAATGAAACTGTACCAACTCTATGACTGGAAACATCTAAAGTCATGAAGACAAAAATATATTCTTGACTTTGGTTGGAAGTATTTGAAAGGTGGAGGAAATGAGGGAGGGTTTTCTGATTAAGCCCAAATACTCTTGGCATTCTGCTGACTGGTGAAAAACAATGTTTTGCTCAGCAGTTTTTTTAGAGAAGCTCTGGAGCAAAATAAATTCGACGTAGTCGCTTACGAATCATAAACAAGAGAAATTATAATTTGGGCAGGGCAAGTCATATGTAATGAACCTAGCACGAAATGAACGCTTGCTCTTTTGTACTGAGAAGCCGAGCAACTTTGACCGTTTTGGAACAGAACATGAGCATTGCGTATGTTTCACAAACGTTTTTGCTGAACATTATCTTAGTATGTAATGATGCCAGGTTTAGCTGGTGTCATTTAAGACATGCTCTTTCGAAAAGTTGGTAGTGCTGACTTAACATTGGAAGGCAAACGGCTGTGCTGAAATTTGTGTGTGAGTAGTGATTATATCTAGCTTCTTTGATGGGTCTTAAACTCCTGATTGTAGATAAATACTTGAAAGATCAAGGAGGGGAAAAGAGTTTCAGCATTTAAGGCTGTAAACACTTCATCGGAGGTTGTAATGGAAATTTTTAAATGTTTATTGTTGCATTCAAGTCTATAGAGGTCAGCGAAAACCTTAATTTTACCTTAACCTCTCTGCCACCTTACTTTTTCTCTCACATAATGAGCAAGAATTGCGAACGGTGATGTTGCGTCTTGTTATGAGCTGAAGATGTGTGTCCATTTGCAGCTGAACAGAAGGGTTCCCACTATCTTGAGCACTAACACTGGACTGGTAATTGAGACGATGGATGTATTAACGAAGGGATGTGAACACCCCGGAGCCATCGTGCCTTTTTTCTTCTACTGCTCTTTGCTTGGTGCTGCGTGTGTTCCTCTTTGTAAGCATTTGGAGCAAGGCTTTTGTTTTTGTTGTCCTCTTTTATGAAACTTGCGGCATTTGGCTTTACTATAGAGAAGCTTATTTCTTCGTCTTACAGTAACTTATTTAAAGAGTTAAGTTCCTATTGGTCTTAACAAACCTCTTTATTCCTATCGTTCCTTCTACAGTACTTGTATTTAGAAATTCTGAAATGAAAATATGTAGAGAGACTTATATCCCCTTCTACAGTAACTTATTCAAAGAACGGAATTCTTGTTAGTTCTACTAAACCTCTTTTCAACAGACTAATTTTATTGATACAAGGTAAATGCAAGAGTACAAATCGAGATAAGACAACTTTGAATCAACAGTAGAATAAAGTCAATAAATTAAGACGCAACAGAAGATTGAAAGTAAAGTAAAAAAAGGGCAATCGTATTCTCCAGACAAAGAGTGTCTAACTCCAAAACCTTCTTATCGG